ATGGAGCTGACTTGAAGCCAAAATAAAAAAGAGGTGTTGGGGGTCTGGAGGATGCACTGGTATTGTTCATGTCATTTGGTAGCTTTAAACTAGGTGGAAATTCTCCAAACGGCATTGTTCAAGCAGGACTGCGTCTCCTAAGCTCCTTGCCATTCTCAGCACCTTTGAAACTATAAAGGTAAAGCTTGCTTTCAATGCTGTGTAAGCACAAAGCCCTGGATAACTAATGAGGCTTCTTGTTCCTTTGCCCTTACAAGTACCTGGATCCCTGTGTGCACCCTTCTTCGCTGTGTGAAGTATATTCTTCAGGGAGCCGTGTACTCAGCCTCCTGTCAGCAGCATTGCTCCACTGAAATTCCTTGTAGTCAGCAGAAAGTAGCGATTTATAACAATTGGTGCATTGGCTCTGGGGGCAGCGAAGGATCTCCCAAAGGAAACTTCACTTTACAATGTCTCTTTCCTATACTTCCTAACAGGGACTCAGTGGGGGATGACCAATTGCAGAAAATTTTTCCTAATGTGCTCAAGGCAAGAATTACGATTATTTGCTGGGCTTCTATCCACCGTGGGGAATTCTAGCTTGTGACATCACTCCATTGTTCCTCCTGGTGCCAAGAACATGCTGGAATCCTGTCTTTGCAATGGTTAAAGTGCTTTCCTGTTTGTTCGTTCCTTGTTTCCAAAGAGTGCATTTCATGAATGCTGCACGGGACGTCTCTTTTCTTGAGCTGTTTTGTCCCTTTCGTCATGTCTGCCTGGAACTCCTCACAATGAAGTGAACAATGTATTCCTATAGTCAAAAACAAAAGGGAAAAAATAACTGCAGGAGGCAAAGCCCATCATTGGAATTTAGGACCCAGGGAACAGTCTTGTGTACGCCTTTGTTCCTTCTTTGGAAGCTGTGTTTGTGTAGCACAGACCTGTTCCTTTGCTCCAGCCAGTTGTTTTTCTTAGTGATTTTAGCGTGCTGATAATGCCAGGAGTGTTGGCCCTGGCAAGCAGTGTCCCCTGCTCTTTATCAGGGGAACAGGGACTGTTGCAGGAGCAATGCAGCTTCTCTGTATCTAGGAGGTCAAGGAGAAGCATTGCTCTCGGTCCAAGCTGAACCCACAAGTCCGTAATAGCAGGAAGATCTGAACACTCTGCCTAAAATGAGTAGCTAGTAGTGAAATGACCAAAGTTAGATACCACAATTAATACTCTGGGCAGGTGATTGACCCCAGCACAGCCGTTTCACCCCACAACTGGAAGTTCTTCTTCACAACTCTAAAAGTAAACTACTTTTTAAAGCTATCAGCCTGTTAAATGGCCAGTCTGTAGCTATGGACAAAGCTGTCAGGGCAGGGTTGGTTCAAAACAGTCCTGCTTGCCTGGTAAATGCAATCCCAACCACACCTCCTCTCTGCAGGGTTCTTACATCCCTACAACAAACGGAGAATTTTGCCTGTTGAATTTCACATCCTTTAAGAACTTCGAAACATCGGCGATTAGGCACCAAACATCCATATATATGCTGGTCAGGTTTGTGCCTGCTCAACACAGTAGAGTATTTCCTGGAGATAAAAAATGGGTTCAAACTCCATTCAGTAGGCATATATGAACAAGAGGGTGTAACGTGTGCTCCATTTTCTGCAGTAGTAAAAATCACTCTTGGGATTTATAAGAAATGAACAAAACAAGCGAGAGATCTTGGATGAAAGGTCTGATTTGTAAAGATATTATTGCACCTGGCACTGAAGGCAGATGCCTAACAGACATCTGGACACTTGACTTCTAGAAATGCAGTAAGAGATCTTTTCAGACACTTGTAGTTTCAGGCACTTTTTGGAAACGTAAACTGACAAAGCTATGGCCACATAAAGGAGGTGGCTTGAACCCAGAACTCCAAAACCTCAGGTCAGCTCAAGACCCCTCTTCCTTCCCTTTCTTCCCTCTTCCTTCCCCCCTTCCTGAGGGGTCTTTATGAGACAAAGTGCTCTGTTGATCCTTTCAGTAAATGAATCCTGGAAAGCCATTTGATCATGGCTCTGTCTCATACCTCATGCAAATGGCTGGTAGCGCCTACTACCCCTTCCTAAGTTTTGTTTTCCTTAAAGTGCCCCTTTTCTCAAGCTTAATGATATCATTTATTCCCTGGCGTGTTCTCTGTGTGGGTAACTATTGTTGTATTACCTTCCCCACGTTGAGAATATCTTCTTTCATTCTACAGTGACCAGAATCAGGACCACAGGAATTGGAGCCAAAGGAGATGTATTATATCACTGAATTGGCATCTGGAATGTCATACAGTATCCTACCCCTGACATCACTCTGAAACTTGGCACAGCTGGAATAATGGGCTGTAACAGGTAACGCCGCTATTGTGTTTCCCTGTCGACTTTAGAATGATTTTTGCAACGGTATAGTGGTTAAAAACTTCCCTCTTTTACCTCTGCTTGTTTGCTTCTCACACTGAAGTTTTATTTTAGCAATTATATCTTTGCTTTCTCATTATTTTAGGATAATGTTTTCATTATTCCTGATATTCTCTAACATTCCCACAACCTGCTACTTTAGCTACACCTCCGTCTGTACATTTTTCATTTGCCCTGGCCTCCTGTGCTCCCTCATTTCATCCACACTCAATAAATGGAGCTCTCTACAGTACCTGCACTCTAACTTGCCAACGTAGTCACAGTTGTTTGGTGAATAGTGCAACAATTTCCCCGGAGCATTTGTTTGATCCCAGTATGGGTTTACCTCTGCACACATCTTCTCTGTTCCTTTTGCATGAACACAGAAAGGCATTCACACTGCTGCTTGGTCAGAGCAAATGTTAAAGTCTCTTTCCTCGTTTGCAGAAATGCCGTTCTAACCCATCTTATTTCCGCAACGAAAGCCATGCTCCCGGCTTGCTGCACTTTTCCTTATTTCTCTTCCCACTGCTCCTAGCATGTGTTACACTTCACACGAGACCGCACACAGATTCACTGTAATTGACAACAGGTTGCATCAGTTCACGACAACGCAATAAAAGTTCAGGGTAAGCAGATAAAAATACGCTCCCTTTCCTAAGAAGCCCTTAAAACCACATTGACACAGAATATTCGAGAACAGTGGTGGTTCTGTGTTGGCTCTTCTAACCTGCTCTCATTACTCAGCATATTTCACTCCTAAGATCTACCTAACATCTGAGAAGGCAGGAGCTGCTTTTCCAAGCTGGAGCAGCAGCTCCAGGGAATGTGTGGTGCCTGGGAGCTGTTATCCATCCCTCCTGTGGTCAGTACCCAATGCTTTCCCTGGAAGACAGTTTCCTACTTCTGCTTGACACATATGATGGGCATGATGAAGCTGCTTGCCGTCTCCTTGGGCAGTCCAAGAGGTGATTGGTATATTTTACCTTCTTCATATGCTTAAAAGTATGCAGAAAGTATCTAGTATGCCATCACTAACGTCAAAGGAAGCAAAAGCAGGCAGCAGTAGGGAAGTTTTATTGTAAGACAATCTAATTGCTCGACCTTGCAAAAGACTAACTGATTTCATGAAAAAAGGGAGAGGGAAAGCAGAGACTCTCTACATTTGATTTAATAGGTGTATTTTACTATAGTTAAAAGTTACTAGGACTAAACGGAACTAAATTCGGCTTGAATTATATGACGATGTTGGTATAGCTTAAAGCAGTCCAGTGTTGCTGTGCGGACCAAGTTAGCCTGCTAAACCGTTTGGTTTCACTTGATTATTATTATTATTATTTTTTTTTTGTGCTGCGTTCAGAGGAGCAGCGTTGGGCAGCACTGGACTGCAGGCAGCTGAGGAACCCTCCACATTGAAGCTGCATGGGGGAGGCTGCAGCGGCAGTTCGGGGGGCCGGGC